AGTGTGTGTGTGTGTGTGTGTATACTCATGGACATGCATGTAGACTTGTAAAGCGAATTTTATACAGAATTCATTGAGTGGCGTCTCGCTCGCAGTCAACGCGCAGAAACGAATGGATCTTTTTATTCGCGCTCCCCTTTCGTTTTCTCCGAACGATGCATTTGGCTGAACAGGGCCGTCGAATTCGGATTTCGCAGAGTCACAAAGTAGTTGTTACTTCATTCTCTCTCTCTCTCTCTCTCTCTCTACAACGCTAAACGAATATGCTAAATGAAACTGCTAAGAGTTCAGTTCTGCTAATCAGTGTGTATAAGTAATCTGTCATCACAATCGTGTTATCGTGGCCCTACGATCGAATTCAGCATCCCTGCTAAGCCCCTCATGCTCTTTCTCACCCTTTTTCTCTTTCACTCACTCACTCGTTCACTCACGCATTCATTCTCTCTTCCCCTCTGTTCCCTTCATACTTATCATTTTTTTTTACTTCTTTCGATATCCAATCCCCGTCACAATTTTACTTCACCGAGAATCCGTTTTCCCCTTTTTACTCCATCCCTCTTTCTCTCATTTCTAGTGTCCGCGTAAATGAAAAATGACTTCTCCAAAGAAAAGGAAAGCACTCGACAAAGAGCCGGCCCTAAAGTTCCGTTTCTTTCGTCATTCGCAATTCTTTCCTACGCGTGGCCAAAGAGGAAGAAAAATCTAAAAAGTTGAAGCTCAAAAATCAATAATGTAACAACGTGTCGACGATTCTAGAAGCATAGTATTTCGTACGTTTGTTCTTCGAGACAGACTTTGAATTAACCAGAAATACATTATCAATGATTCATTTGCGATTTAAATAGATTCTCATAAAGCAAATTCAGAGCTGACACGATAATCGGGATAATTTTATAATGAAAATGAGTACCAATGAGTAATTTTGCCAACGGTAATCTCGGCTCAGATCGTGATTTAACCGATCCTCCATTGTTTTCTCTTATATATCTGCATCACTGATATAATAATTAAGATGAAAAAAATGTTTAATTACGATTAATACTAACTGACGTTAGTAAGATTCGTATTGACGTGATGACTGACTCTCCAAGAGATAAAGAAGTGATTCCTGTTCTTCTTTATCGCGATGTTTCAAACGCAAAGTACATCACACTTTTTTCATTCGTTCGAGCACGTCGCAACATTAATATGACATCATTGCGATTTCAGTAATTATAATTTCAATGATTGCACGTTTTCTTGAACAAAAAGCAAAAAGCAAAACGATCGTAAAGTAAGTAAGATCTATTCATCATGTTTTTTACGTAAAACAAGTCAAAAAAAATCGCGAAATTGCTCGGAGAGATTATTTCCAGGGCATTTCAAATAATTTCATTGTAAACTTTTAATTCTAAGATTCCCCTTCCCCTGCCTATCTCTCACTCTTTTACTTCAACGCATTCTATCTCACTCATTCAGTCTGACCACATACGCTCTCTCTTTCATAAACTTTCTCCTCCCTTCTCTTGCGAACCCTCCTCTCTCGCGGGCCGAATCATGTTTCTTTTTTTATGATTTATCTTGATTTTGTCTCGTTTTATTTAAAAAAATACTGAATTAGTAACCAAGCTAAAATCACAGACTTGCTGGTGATTTATCCCAGCGGATTTGTACAAATTCCTCCTGAAGGTCTTTCTTTCTCTCTTTCTCTCTCTCTCTCTCTCTTTCTCTCTCCCCCTCTCTCTTTCTATATATATATATATATGTATAATTACAAGATGTGTGTATATATATATGTATATAATTATGTATATATAATATATGCGCATATATATATAATTACAATTTATTCGCGAAATAAATGTGAATATATGCTCGCATTTTCTCCTCTTTCGCCCATCCCCCTTTCTCTCTTACCTCCTCATCGCTTCTCATTCTAACGCATTTTTTATTCTCTCTCTCTCTCTTGTTCTCTATCGCCCTCCCTTAACATTTGTCGGTATTTATGTTATAGTTTTTTTATGTGTGTTTGCGGAAACGGATGAATAACGTAGACATGTACAGGTTAATTCTCGTAGACGAGCGTGCCCTTCTCGAACCCACGTTTCTCAGTGGAAATCAAAAACAAAGGGAAAGGAACGTAGTTGTCTTGTTAGTAGTCAGCAGTAAAATTATCGTCGAAGGACGACACCGCGGAGATCTCACCGCTTGGCTCTCGTACTTTCTCTCCAGCCTCTACGTCCCGCACTACTTTCGACAGATTATATATTCGAGATCGCTGGTGTTTTACAGCCGCCGATATGGACGATCGCAGGGTATTTCTCCGATATGTCAAAAAAAAAAAAAAAATTAAGAAATTATCTCCATTCCACTTTTGTCCTCTACAGAGTCCCTGACGTCATACGTCACAGTTCGTAATAACAAAAGTATTTTTTTTTTTTAATCGATTCGCTACGATGATGTTAATGAATGCACACAGTATTGGCGCGTACACATTACGATCCGATTATTTGGGCGCATGACGTCAAAGTCGAAGAGGACCGAGGAGTTTATTATGACCGAGGTGAGGTTGATTTCGTCCTTCCACTGTTTGCGAGCGCATTCAGCGATTTTAAACGAGTCGTCTTAAGCTCCGACGCTTAAAGCAAATTTGCACAATTTGGTTCCGATGTGTATAATGTTCTCGCGAAATTAATCGAATTTCTTACGATGAGACGCTATTTACTTTAAAAAAAAAGAAAAAGAAAAAAAAGAAAAAAAAAACAAAGGACGACCAGTGTCGACCAGTCGGAAATAACAAAGACGTGATGATAACTCCGATCGAAGTGACGACCCAATTAAAAAGGCGGAAAGCGCGCGCAATATTTACGGATAAAATTCTCGCACGTGTATATGTAATACATATATATGTACCATTTACATACCGGTATGTATAGTAAGCGCACACGCCGCTCGTGTTTAGGTCGTTACATACGGAAATTGCTTATATTGTCGCTCTATTCTTAGTATAATCACAGACATGGTTTCTATAATTGCTACGTACAACAGAGCCTTTTCTCATTCGACGCCGAGCACACACGATAGGTTCTCTCTCATCCCTTCTCCCTTCTCCCTTCTTCATTAGCCATTCCATCTTTCATGCGTTTACATCGCACGCCACTCATGCATACACACTTTTTGCACAAACTCTCATTCCTACGCACAAAGCCCGGCAAAAACCGATAAAAGTATTCATGTTAACTCTCCAATTTGAATTTCATGGGCAAAAATTGAAATCGCGCACTCGTAACAATCTGCCGACGACGCGGATCTCGTTCTCATTATTAACGCGAGCGTATCGGTTCGTCAAGTAACGGTAATTGAACAGATCTCGATGCCGCGAGCACGAAGCAGACGCGTGATTAATCGAGCGAACTCGATTATTATTGCCGGAGCGGGCGAGCGTTACGTATCGGGTGAGCGCCGTACATACGCGTTCAATCTCTCTCTCTCTCTCTCTCTCTCTCTCATTCACTCACATACATACACAGACTCATTCCTGCGATGCCGAAACATTCGCAATCGCGCACACACCGTGCATCGTACACGACTCACTATTCGAGACCGACTCTTCTTAGTAAAAACACGCCCGGGTACCATCCCGTGGATAAAATCACAGCAATTTTATACACCGTCATGTTTTCTCCTGCTTTCTTCCATCTCCTCTCACGCGAAAGATATAATATACAATTCGTCGGTTATGTACACGCCCGGAGGTGACTTGGTTCAAAACTCTCCAACGCCCCCGCGCGTATACACGGTGCTCTACATACATAATGCTTTTATATATATATATATATATGTGTATATATATATGTACATATAACTCACGCGCTTTTGTAAAATTTGTACGTATGTATTTGCGAGTATTTTGTTTTGTATGTGTGTGTGTGTGTGTGTGTGTGTGTGTATGCATTCAGACTACCACTTAAGATTTCTACTGAGAATCACTGTCGAATAAGTGAAACACTCAAGATTCATACTATTGAGAGCCATTCTCGAAAAATAGAAATCACAATTTTACATCGAATTTGAATTCTCGTTATCGTGATGCTGCGAAATTTCCACGTTCTATTGTCCAGAAAATCGAAATTATTCGACAAACTCATGCAATATACGTGAGAAAGTAATCACGCCTTCTTAGTTTGATGTATTTTTATTTTTATAGATGCTCGTGGAAAATATTACGTTAATGAAGAATAAATTCGATGACTTTGACACCAACGATCTTAACAGCTTACGATAGCGATGATTTACGCTGAGATCCATCGCGATTGCGTTTGCTCAAGACTCATCGGTGTATATTTAGTTTTGTGAATGTATTCGCGCGCGTGTGTGTGTGTGTGTGTGTGTGTTTTATCATCGTGTGGGGCTCGGTGGTAATCTGCATTGACAGTGCGAGGTTCGGCGAAATTGTCGATGAGAATGGAGAACGATTGACTCTCATCACATTCCTTTGTGGTTCTCAATTTTATGATTGTACAAACCGACGCGAGAGAATGAAAAATATGGAAATAAGTTCGTATATATATATATATATATATACATATACATTACAAGAATTAATCCAATGTATCCAATCATAAATAACTTTCTATGTAAATCACTTAACTTTCTTTTAAACAATCAATCTATCACAAAGGATTTAATTTTTAAAAAATTTGCTTTTTGCACATCGAAAGGTATTTATAAACAGCCGCGGCGATTTGCATACTCGTCGGTGTGTACGAATCTTAATTCGAGATCCGATGAGGAAAAGTGCGTGGAAGAAAGACGCTGGTCATTCGAGAGGATGCGAGAGACAGAGAAATCGTGTGTAGTATGTGTATGTATATATATATATACATATGCACACACACACATATGCATACATATACATGTGTGTGTGCGTATATATGTTTCTTGTGTACAAATGTGTGAGTACGGATTCTTTACTCCCTCGAAAATGTAGGAAGGGCGATGAGACTGGCTGGTCTTCGTTGTTCCTCCCTCGCGTGGCTGCTGTCGTCATGAGAGAAACACTCGGAGGTTACGCGGGTAGAGGAGGTGCTGAGATCAATTAGTCGGCTGCTGAGGGAGCTCCAAGCTCACTTCTTTCTCGCTGCGACGGCCGCGAAATCCTTCACCAGCGAAAAAGACTCGCCGATAGTAAGGGCGATCGATGAAGATGAGAGACGATGGCTCGAGGGAGCAGCCGTTGAATCAACTGGAGAATCGACTGGTCTGCGTTCCGATCCGCTTTTCCATTTCTCATTTCACTCTTCCGTCGCTCGACGCACACGCGTTGTTTTCTTCCCGTGTTGTCTTTTCGATCGAGCGCGTTAGTTTAAATAGCGCACAGACTAGGGTGCTCGGGGGGACACGTTTCTCTTCTCAAAGGTGCTCCTTGTTTTCATTCACTCTCGAGATTCTTCGTACGCGCGAGAAGAGGATCGGGAAACGCGAGACTAGACTAGAGTCGAGCCGATCGACGCGCGTGGACGAGCTCGCGTCTCCCGAAGGATGGACTCTCCTCCCCGTGTGTAGCAGGAAGTCGCTCCTGAGTTCTCCAAGCTGCTGAGACGAGGCCTGACGAAATGCAGATCATCGACGGTGCTCCATTTTCACTTTTTTTTCTTTTCTTTTTTTCGTAGAAGACGAGAGAGAGCGAGAGCGAGAGAGAAAGAAAGGAGAAAGAGAGAGAGAGAGAGGACCGACTCGAACCTTCGCTCGAAATTTTTCGGTGCACTGAGAAAGAAAGGGAAAAGTAGAAAGGAAAAGGAGAGAGAGAAGAAAAACGTAAAAGAGGGAAAAGACGCACGCACGTTTGGAGTTCACAAAAGGTTGAGGAGCGCGCGGACGTACCCGGTCCGACGCGACACAATCATCACGCGGGATATCACATATCACGAGATGCACGTGCGCTTATAGTAGATCATTTCAGAAGCGTAGACACGAGCGCGACGGCAAGCCCGGCGATTCAGCTGGAGACGTACGCGGCGATCTGCTCGCTGAATTGCGTGTGCTCCAGCAACAGAGAGTCTTTGCAGGTTTCGAATTGTTGCTGTTGTTGTTGCTGGGATGGCGACGGCATAATAGTTGGCGCTTGTTGATGTTGCTGCGAATGATGGTGCTGATGGTGTTGTTGTTGTTGTTGTTGCTGCTGCTGCTGATGATGATGTTGCTGATGCTGATGTTGTTGCTGCTGCTGCTGCTGGGAGATCTCTTCCGCGTTCTCGGCCTCCGTACGTTCGTACAATACGCAGATGGAACCATTCTCGCCGATTCTGTACGACACTTCCGACGGGTCGATCCACATGGTAAGCTCGCTGGGGAACAGGCTGTGCAGTACCGTCGGCAACAGGCCGACGTTCGCCCCAGCCTGCGCGATTACCGGATCCATTTTACCGTTGATACGTATGCAACGGTAGCCGGAGCCGCGATTTGGCCGATCTGGGAACCAGTGATCGCGATAACGGTGGCGCAACACCTCCGTCAACGATGATTTGAACATCTCCAGTTGCCGTTCTGACAGCTGACCCGCCTGCAGGCGCAGCAGGTGCACCAAAAAATCCGCCGCCGACACGATTTCCAGTCTCATGGTCGGTGATGACCCAGGGCGAAGGCGTCGATGACGATAATTCAATAGCAAATTCTCTCTCTCTCTCTCTCTCTCAATCTCTTCTGTATCGCGGTGGGATGAAAGTCACGTCGATGACGCACTCGATCTTGCTCAAATACACGGGGGCCACTGTTTATCTCTCTCTCTCTTTCTCCGTCTCGCTGTCTCTCGCGATGGAGGCGGCCACGGTTCCGGAGGCCAAAAGCACTCCACGCCGTTTTACACCGATTGAAGGCGACGAGGATCAGAGATACGCGCGTGTCACGGGTCACGGCGCGGCGATGAGTAAGCTCGACGGCGTTGATGCCGAAAGAAGCGCACAGTACCAGTCACCACAAAATGGCGTCGTCGCCACGTCGCTGCGTAGCACTCTACAGCGCTCGTCGTACGTCCTCGACCCTCCAGCGCGATGGGCTAACCGCCGGAGCGTCCCTCGAAGATCCTCACCGATGAGGATGCAATCCGGCGCACGATAACGGATGTAACAGATGTACGTGGGGGATCGATTACGGATCGTCGTCGGGCGAGCGTCGTCCACACGTCGTCGTTTCTTCACGCTCGCCTCGTTGCCTTTGCCTGCCAATTCGCCTCGTCGTCGACTCGTCCACGCGAGTTCCTTGGTAATGCTCGCGAACGAAAATGCGCGCGTTTTCCGTTTCACGCTTCGTTTCACCGGATCGATTCCGACTATTCGTCCGATCCGGGACCGTCGCGTCGGTAGGTCGGAGCTACTGGAGTTGATCTCTAAAGCCGGAGTCGTCTCTCCACTGCCACTCTCTTCTCTCTTTCCGACGTTCTCGTCGAGTCCCGGCAGACTGGCTCAGACTGGATAAAACTTGATCGCGACTTGGATCTCCGAATCGATGGATCAGCTCGCTTTATCTTTCTCCCTCTCGCTCTCTCGGTCCAAACTCGCGGAGGTTCCGCGTTCATCGACTACCGACGACTTTCTAATGGCAGAGCTCACGAGCACAACGGGGTAGCCTCGTCTCTTTGTTCGAGTGACGCCGAATGGGGGTTACGTATCGGGACATCGGCCAATCCTGCGTCGACGGCGCCCACCGCGACGCACCGTCACGTGATCCAGCGCGCTGCGCATGGTAGATGGTAGGTGCTGCAGCCGCGTCGCCACTCGCCACTCGCTCGCATCGGTCGTCCCGAGTCCCGAGTCCCGAATACGAGGACCAACGCGGACCCTGCTTGCCTGCTTGCCTGTCTGCCGTCTGCCGTCTACCGTCTGCCTGCGCGCGATGTCAGTGATTCTCAAATCGCGCCGACCGGACCACCGAACCTGAAGCTTTAACTACTTAACGCCGACGCGCAACGTCGAAACGTATCACCTCGCTGTACGCACATACGAATATGATTCTATCACGGACAAATGTTATTACTCAATTTTATTTCTTTCTTTTTTTTTAAGGTAACGAGGTTATCTCTAACAAAAGATATGTATATTTTCTCGATAATTGTCTTAAAATATATTCATTTCAAGTTTTAACAAAGTTATTATATGTATTCGAAACAAGAATTAATTGTCTTTTGAAGAACATTATAAAATTAGTCGATGAAACAACTTTTTAATAAGAAATTGTAATAAATTAGCGAGGATTCAGAATATATAATATTTTAAATAAATTTGATGCTTGTAACAAACTTATAGATTTGCAATATACTTGTCAACTTTGTACAAGTCATTATTACTTGCACGTTGTATGTATTTTTCTGTGTATATACCGGGAACCGAGCGATAATCATTTAGAGATATATATATATAATTCAATCGTGTCGCACTGTATGCAAAACAATCTATATTAAACTTTATTGTCTTTGCTCGCACAAACAAAGGCAGATCGGCATTTCTGATTGTTCTCAATAATTGACCCCTATCATTTTTCTTTTCTACAAAATGCATCATTTAATTGAGAGAAACTGCAAAAGATGTCTCGGAAATATATCGCGTGTCTTTCTACGTCTGCCTTATAGATAGTCTGTATTATAGATAGCCTAATGCTATAACTTCTTTGAATCAAAACACTCGATGAGTATTATATCGATCTTAAGCTGTGAATTATATACAAGTTTGTGCGAATTCATTGCTATCTCTTTGATGGATAAAAATGTATCTTCCAATAAAATTCAAATTTGCAAGCGTAACTAATTGAAAGAACTGATACTCGTCAAATCGTTCAATGTCTTTAAATCCCATGTAAAATTCCTAGCGCAAAGCCAAGGCAATAGCACTTTATTTGCTTCTACAATTCTACAGAACGACCGCAGAGTCAAAGTTGCACCAGATTACCGGTTTCCATTCTACTACCACGTTCCTAATTGGTTGCGTCAATCTAGCAAGTCTAGCTGTGAGCACCACTGACCCCACAAGTTTTTAAGTACAAATCTGAACGAGGGAACGAGCGAGCGAGCAGGGAACTAATGCCGACTGCTAGAAAGCGCGTAGGTTACAATACCATACAACTAACTACTATACACACGGTGAGTTTGACGACCGTCGGGGTAGTGGCATGAAAACCACTCTGTCCGGGATTTAACCCGAAACTCGAACAACGTGTTCGGCATGGGGGAAAAAAAGTCCAGCCCCTTTCCCTTAACCCTTTGACGTGCAAGTTTTGTACCCTTTCGAAACGCTTCAATCAACGAAATGGAAGGGAAGGCCGACGTGGACATTATTTCGTTCACTCATTTCGAGCCTCATCGTATACTTACCGTATAATGTACAGTACGGTACACAGTGGATATATTATTTTGGAAAAAAAATCATTATTCTTGGAATCATTAGAGATCTAGAACAACAAAGCTGAAGGATGCGATTCCCCGTTGCGTTGAGCCTAACCGCGTTTCACGTGGACATTCTCGTCGTCGTCGAATTGCGAAAGTCTGGCCCACCGGAAGGTGAGTCGGAATTCGATGTATCCTCCCTTGCAAAGGTATGAAAGCGGATCTGATTTGCCAACCGCGTCGCTATGTAGAGCATTTCATTCGTAATTCCGGGAGTTCGCCACTGCCAAGTTGGCAACTGAGCGCCGATCGATAAGCCCAGATTATCGTGGGCCAGCCCCGCGAAAATTCACGAACCGCACGCGAATTTCCCTGCGTCGAGAATTCACGGCGCGCCGCGCGAGCTGTACAAAAATCGTTTCGCGACGAAAATCGTCCCGTTAGAATAGAGAGAATAGAGAGAAGTCACTTTCAGAAATCACTTTCACGACGTGCTTCGTCATGACTAAAGATTCTATGACAAACTCTGGCCACGATGAGTAAAATAGTTGTCAAAACAAAAATGAGAAAGAAGAATTATCAAATGTTATCTTATTTCAATTTATACTATCTTAAGCTCACAAGAATGTATGATAGTAAAAGAATCAGAGAATTAAGGTTATTGCCTTATATTTTCAGTTGTTATCGACTAATTCGTTTATTGCTCACGTCTTATTATCTTACGTTTTGTCTATATGCTCTGAATTTACTCATTTCAATTTACTAAAGTTAATAAAAACGAAGCAATCAAAAATTTCTCATCTCGTGGTGAGCCAAATTCTATCTATTATAATTCATCGAAAGTTTCACATTTATTCAAAATATATTCTGAATCCAATAGTAAGTTTAATACTTTTATCAAGACTATTAAATTAAAAATAAATTCGATTTGCTGTTATAGGATCTCTAGTCACGATTAGAGATCCTACAACAGTCTGACTACGAGTGATTTTGTCAAAATCCTATAAAATAAGAGAAAGGTATATATATTTCTTTTCTGTCCTTTATTGTCTCATTTAATAATTTTAATTAGGATTATAAAATGAAACGAAAACAAAGTAGAAAGATATTCTATTGATAAGAAAAGTAAATTAATCACTGAATTTACTTTCTTTCTTTTAAATAATTATTTATTTATCTTTACCAAAGAATATTTTCTTGGTACACAATCGTACGTATTAAAAATGTAGTCAAAACGACAAAGAATTTATTTTCTTTTGAACATACATATAATTGATCAAAGAAGCGATTTTATTATGTAATAAGCAAATCGAATTTATTTCAATTTAATAATGTTGACTAAAATATAATATTAAACTTCCTGCGATTCAAAATATATATTTTGACTAAATTTGAAACTTTTGATAAACTTATGATAGATTTACGGATAGATATATGAACTTTTGAAACAAGTAATCATTATTTGCGTAGAATATATATTTTTCTCGATAAGTTGGAATAAAATAATATACCCAGGGAGAAAATACATTAATATACCTTTCTCTTTCGTAGAATTTTGACAAAATCGTTCGTGGCCAGATTCAGTAGTAGTCTCTCGTCACGGCGAGGTCAACGCGTTCACCGGAAGTTGGACGAATTAAATTCTAAGCGAGTTAAACCGGCCAACTATCGAGAAACTCCGTTTCCGCGCACAAAGGAAGTCGCTGACGCGCGGTACAGCGAAAATATTACGTTCGACGATCAAAGGCGGCTAAGCGTCGCTGGTCGCGGAACTGGTTAATTTTGCAATCGACGTCTACACGAGTCTACACGAGTCTACAGAGCGAGCGGTTTCGCGCTCACTCTGTCCCGATATACCTCAAACGCGATCGACCGCTTCCGTTTCCGCTCGCGAGTAATTGCAACGCATAAAAACGTAGAAACGTAGAAACGTAGAGTCAATCCGTGAATCAACAATTGCGCCTTTGTCAAAAGTTTACGGTTACGGCTCGTGAGATTATTTGAGATTATTGCAGCGCGATGATATCGATAGTACAAAAGCCTACATGAATGTATAACGTGTAAACAAACAAGTCAAGTTTAATGAGAAATAAGATAGTAGAATATATGCTGTCTCTCTCTCTCTCTCGATAAGATAAATTCTTTAATTTTAACGCTTTCCGCTCTTGCCGGAAAAATGATTTGGCACGTCGAAACCGCGATAACGATACCACGATGAAATATCTCGTCCGCGTATTCGAAGCGCGAGGAGAACAAACGCGCCATGCACGGTGAACGAAATATGCCGAACGTGCAATTGGCCGGGAGGGGCTGCGAACGCGCAGAAGGGTGCCGTATATTCAAATTACGGGGTGACCCTTCTCGAAAACTTGACGAGGGGAACGGAGGGAAGCTCGGAATTACCGACGGTCTCACTCTCTCTCTCTTGCCAGAAGGTTCTCTAAAATCAATAGGGCCGGTTCGGGGACCTCGCGCGTTCTGCATTCTGCCCGCGAGGAGTTCCGCTTGAAAATCCATCAGCCGTGATCCCTGCGGAACCCATTCGCCATGCACTCGCCAGCCGCGACAACGCCAGGCAACCCCCTGTTTAAGGTAGCGATTCACTCCGCAGGACACCTCTCGCCAGGACGTGAGAAACTCTTAAGAAATCAGAGATGTGCCACGTTAATCGCACACGTCCGGAAGACGTGACTTTCCGTTGAAGGGCGAAAGAATCGTATGAGAAAGAAGTAATTCGATATAAGGACGT